CCCTTTCCTTATTCTTGTACTAAGGAGGAATGAAGTATAGAGTGTAGTTTGCTTTCCACTATGAGTCATAGCCTGGAGTTCACAGGTTATCATACCTTCACTTTCAGCCACAGACCCGTGGAATAACACATATAATGGCAGAATGAAATGGGCTCTATACAAATGAGCAGTGTAAGATGAAACAAGGCATAAAGGATCAGTGTGTAAATTAACTTGGTAAGAAATTACTTGAAGGGACCCACACATTCTACGCTGCCACTTCATGAACCCTGATTTGATACAGCTGGTGAAAATAGTGGGATTACAACTGAGGAAGAAGCGGAAGTAAAACACTCTAGTGACCCATTAGAGGTGGATATAGAGGAATTGTTCTTCCTCTGAACATTAGAATCAGTTAAGTCAAAAAGGCTCTACATAGATAATTAAGATGGAATACCTTGTAGTTACCTACTGTGACAAATAGGTGAACTCAAAGTGAAAAATATGTAGGAAAATAAGGTTAGGTGAAAAGGAGAAATATATGGATACTGATCACAACTGTAAATATTTATTATATATATCATCAATAAACACCCTAAGAGAATTTGGAATGAGCCAGATGATTGAGTATAATGCTCACTATTTTTTTATTTTGTAAAATTATTTTCATAATAAAGTAGAAGCTATATTTATAGGTAAATTAGGATGTTGAGATAAATGTAGGAAGTTGGGACAGCAGCCAGGTGGTAAGATAAGCATTATAATTCAGCTATATGTTACCAAATGAAAGCGGGAATACCCAAGAAACTAGCTCTCTGGAATACCTAGGCATTAAGGCAAGTTGAATGCAGAAATAAATCAGGTGAAAGATTTCTTCAAGTACTCTTCTTATATCCCAGGAAGCAACTACCACCCCCTCCACCTTCAGTTTCCCATCCACCTTTGAGATTGAGTCTGTAGCTACATCAGACCTGATGACTTGGCCACATTTTGTAATGATAAACTTAGAAAGGAAATTTAAGTCAGTTAGACTCTACATTTCTTGTTCTTTTTTTGTTTCGAAGTATAACAGACAAGCAGAAAAGTGCACAAAATACTTTTATAGCTCAATTAATCTTTACAAATGAACACTTGTGATCTCATCCAGGTCAATAATAAAACATTGCTAACATCTCCAGAAGCTCCCATCATGCCCCCTCTCAATCATTAATCCTTTCTTTTTATTAATTAATCCACTCTAACAATAATTTTAGCTGTTTCGACTTTTATATATTGAGATACACCTAGGAATGGAATTACTGCTTCATGTAATGTGCATGCATTCAACGTTAGTAATTACAAAACCAGTTTTCCAAAGTGATTATCAATTTACACAGTCACAAGCAGTTTATGAGAGTGCCCATTGTGCCACATCCTTGCCAACACCCGGTATTGTCAATCTTTTTAATTTTAAATGTTAAGTAAATATTTTAAAGCCTAAGATTTTAAGATGGCAAATCCCACAAGGATTTCCTTCCCTAGATTTTTAAAAACTTTTATTTTGAAAAAGTTTTAGACTTTAATAGAAGTTGCAAAAATAGCACAGAAAGTTCTCATGTACCCATTTACCCACCTTGCCTCATTGATAACATTTTATAAACATTAGTATAATTATCAAAACCAGGACATTGACATTGCTACAGTACTATTAACTAAACTATGGACTTTAATTAGATTTCACCGATTTTTACATGAATTCGTGTGTGTGTTCACATTAGGTTTGTATAACCATGCAGTGAGTAAATGGGTCTTCTAGGGCAGAGTCCCTAACCCCTAGGCCACAGACTGACTGGTACTGGTCTATGGCCTGTGAGGAACTGGACACACAGCAAGAGGTGAGCGGTGGGCCAGTGAGTGAAGCTTCATCTGTATTTGCAGCCGCTCCCCATCACTGCCTCAGCTCCACTTCAGATCATCAGACATTAGATTCTCATAGGAACACTGGTCCCTGGTGCCAAAAAGGTTGGGGACCGCTGTTCTAGGGTATGAGAGGCTAACTGCTTTGCTTATGACAAGGGAAACAATAGTAGACTCTGTAATACTAGATGGAATGTCATTTAATATATAAATTGCTTTAGAAATTGTTGTCAAAAGCCAGTGAAGGGAAAGGAGGCTAGTTGTCATAGCTAAATACTCTCACACATTTTCATACTCTATATCTAAATATTGGGGCAGCTGTGGGCATGGGTAGAGTCCCAGGGTCACTGATTAAAGTCTACTTTTCATTATTCAGAAAGAAAGACTTGGTGATAACAAGTGATATGCTCCAAAGCAGCAGGCTCTTCAGTCCCACCTTTACATCCATTTTTTACTTGAAGACAATTTGCTGTTGGTGAGGCCAATGAGATAACTTTCTGCTGACTCCTCTAAAGTGATTCTTCATTCCTCCCACTATTATTTTATATAATGTCCAGATGATTCCCAAATTTTTACTTCTGGCCCAGACCTCTCTCCTGAACATCATACCAATACATCCAAACTGATGAATCCATTTCTAATATTTTCTTCCAAGCAGCCCGGGAAGATGGCCATAAACAGCTCAGCCTGCATCATACTTAAGGATCCCAGAAAAAGCATCAGTATGTCAAATTGCAGGGAAATATTTAATTGACTCCACTTGGGTGACATGCTCAACAAAAATTAATTACATGATCTATGGCCATCCCACCCTGAACAAGCCCGATCCCGTCTGATCTCAGAAGCTAAGCAGGGTTGGGCCTGGTTAGTACTTGGATGGGAGACCACCTAGGAAGACCAGGTGCTGTAGGCATAAAAAAAAAGGGGAGGGGGGAGGATTGTAAGCTGACAGGGTCCTTGCAATCTGTGAGGTCAACCAAGGGTTGCCTCGCCTAAAAAAAAATACAAAATCACATGGCCAAAGCCTGGCCAGCCTGGAACCTGGGTCTCCCCAGGTAGCCGATGCAGGCGACGTCCTACCCACTTACCTTTGACCACACCAAAGGTTACCTGCAGACAGTTTCTGTACAACCTCATGGGTCTTTCTGCCTGAGGGAGTTCTCCAGCCCCTAGAGTGAGCTCAACTAGCAGGGCAGGCTAAAAATGCCACAGAGTTAACTCAGGAGCAAGCCATATCCAATGAGGATCAGTAACCCTGCTTTCTTTCCTTTCAGTGGAATAATTCTGAAGTGTATTCTGTCCATTCTTGCAGAAGGGCTCCAGTGGGATTGGGCCCTTGTTACCCCTCAGTACACCCTTTATTTATTTTTATTTTTCTTCCCTTCTCTCACTTCCTTTCTCCCTCACCGTGTTTTCTGGAATAATCTCCCAAACAATTCTTATCTCAAGATCTGCTTTCTAGGGAACCAAAACTAAGATAACCTTTGTAAAGAGAGAAGGCCATCTGTCTGAGAGCCCCATCAAGACCATATGGACCATAAAAAGATTTAAACTCCAAAACTACATTTGTTGGTGACGATATTCTTGCTCACATCCCACTTTCAACTTTTGCTCTTAAGATATGAGTTTAATGTTGGCTTCTGTTGGGGCTTAGGTGATAGGTTAACATCCAAGATCCCCCTGAGCTGGCTGTTGCCTTGAAAGCAAGGAAGAATATGGAAAATGAATGCTCAGAACTCCGAGGAAGAAATGGTGGAATGCTTTCTCAAGGGCTGATGGAAAATAAGAGAACTTAGCCAGGAACTACTTGGATTTTAGGCATCTAAACCACATAGAGAATCCTGGGCCCCAGGAGAGCATCAGAATGTGATGAGTGTAATGCTGAGCTGAGAACAACTGCCATCTCTGTTTAGTGTGGGCCACTTAGTACTAAGAGAACGAACATATTAGAAAAAAACATGGTCTAGAAAGAACGAATCTGAGGCTCAGCATGAATCTCTAAGCATGTTCAAAGTCCATAAATCTTATATATGTTGATATGCTCAGCTCACAAAACCCCAGATGCCTTCGTGAGTTTTCTACCATTTTTTCCCCAAGGGTAAGTTACAGGAAGAGAAGTAACAAACGTGGCAGTCAGGAGAACTATGCCTAGCAAACCTCCTGCTGGCTCTTTCTCCTGATTAGGGGAAACCCAGCTGGGAAAAGTGTTGAGTACAATCACACTGAAGTTGAACTCAAGAAACATGTAGAAAATGGGGCTTTAAATTAGGGATTGAGATCTCCAGGGTCCTGAGACTTGACTTGCTGTCACACTGCCCTCACAACATTTTAAAAGAATTTGGATTTATCACAAGAGAAGCCTGCCGTGATCCAGGCCTTGTGCTTTGGGAGCTGCCAAGTGCTAACACCAGGTGCTGTCGGCAAAGCCAAGAACATCTGCAGTGGGAGGCAGCTAAAGAGGCCATGATCTAGGAAGGGCCTCCTAGGAGAAGTTCTCATTTTAACTTAGAATCCAGGCTTCCAGTCAGTTTTGCCAGCAGCCATGACCCATCTGCACCTCACTTTCTTCTGAGAAACACGGATGAATTCAGCCTTCAGACATGTTGTATTTGGCAGTGTTTTAAAATTTTTACTTAATCGCCAATATTTAAATTGTGTGAAATTTTATATAAAAATTCAGAATTTGGGAGCCAGAGTTATCAGTCCAAGATGTTCAGAGAGGCACTGGGGAGAATGCCCAGCTGCTCCTAGTGCTGAGATGGGGGTGGTGAGAGGTAAGAAAAGTCAGAGCTAACATCTAAGCTGCTGGTGCTGCCATATTTTCTTGGGGAAAAAAAAAAGAAAAAAACACTGGGGAATCTAGTCTGCCCAGCAACAACTGAAGATGTACTGGCTGCTGTTTTAGGTGGGACTGGCCCTCTCCACCTCACCAGTCCTGACCTGGCCTACTTCCCTCAGTTAGGATTCCAGCTTGCTTCTGCAGCCTTTGAGTTTATGATCCTTGAACTAGACAATTCCTTCAGCTCTA